CCACCATTGACAGCTATTAAAAATCTTCGAAGCTTTGAATTCGAATTCGATTTTCAAAAAGTATTTATTTGTTCGGATTGGGTGTTATTGCAAATGATTGGGAATATTCTATAAAGTTTGTATCTCGATTCTAAGGGTACTTGGTGAAGATTATATTTGATTTGGCTGGTTTCAGATTGAAATTCGAAGAAGAACCAGAAGAATATACCACATACAAATTATATACAATATGCATACAAAAGATATACTGTATAAAATTTGTATGAAACTTGTATTTAAGTTGTATGATATTGTAGTTGTATTTAAATAGGTAATAATGATGCATGAAAGTTGTAGATAAGTTATAAATAAGTTGCATACCGTATAATTAGTTTTAAGAAATTTGTTTTTAGTATATATGTTGCTGTAGATATATCAAATAGTGGATTAAATTTGTATGAAACTTATTTTTAATATGTATGTTGTTGAACCCTACATTATTCATTTTTAAAAATAGGTAATTATGGCAAATAGAGAGAAGAGGTGCTTTAATTATGGCTTAAAATAGGTAACACACAACTGGATGGAGTTTTATTTAGATGGAAGGGTAATTTGAACTTCGTTCCCTCAGTTACACCCTTTTCCAAGCAAAGAATTCCCTAATTTAAGGTACTAATAATGAATTGTACATAAATTGTAAGAAAAATTTATTTAGGGCGGGTGATGTACAAAACTTGGACAATTATAGTAAATAAGTTCAAAATATTTATAGGAAGGAAAAAATCCATATATATATTGAAAGCCCAAAAAGTTTCTCTGCAGGTGTACTGGATGTAAAAATTGCACGAGACGCCCTATGGTCGGCCCATTTAACCTATACCCACTTTTAAAAAAGTTTTAACTTGTTACCCACTTTTTAAACAACTTCAGGCCTCTTTCCCCCCTCCTTCTCCTCCTTCGTTTTTTCTCCTCCTCCCCTCCTCCTCCCTCCTCGTCCTTCTTCTTCTTCTTCTTCTTCTTCTTCTTCTTCGCGTGACAATGATTTTATATGGTGTGGTTGTGAACATATTTTTCTTAGTTATGATGTTTACAATGGTGAGCTTTATGACCTCCTCCTCCTCCCCTGCCTCTCCTCCTCCTCCTCCTTCTTCTTCTTCTTCTTCTTCTTCTTCTTCTTCTTCTTCTTCTTCTTCTTCTTCTTCGCGTGACAATGATTTTATATGGTGGTTGTGAACATATTTTTCTTAGTTATGATGTTTACAATGGTGAGCTGTTATGACGCTTTATTTTTTACTATTGCTTAAGGTTTCTTCTTCTCCTTTTTCTTAATTGCAAAATAGGTTCATTAGATTTATTGTTGTTTTGACAAATTGATGATTGAAGTTTGTTCCTTATGATATTTGGAGGTTATGTTTCAAATTTGAGCTCATTTGGAGTAGATTTAGGTATTAAATCGTATATTGGATTGTTATAATTCGAAGAACAAATTTCTGTTTCTGGGCAATTTGCACTTCAAGGCCTATTTGGCCTTAAGTACATAAAAACGTTGGTTGCGCTTCAGACCTTTTGGCCTTAAGTGCATTTGAAGTGCAATTTTTCTCTTCAGACTTATTAGCCTTAAGTGTAGCAAAACGTTTGTTGTACTTCAGACCTTTTGGCCTTAAGTGCATATGAAGTGCAATTTTTCACTTCAGGCTTATTGGCCTTAAGTGCATCAAACCATTGGTTACACTTCAGACCTATTTAGCCTTAAGTGTATCCGAAGTGCAAATTTTCACTTCAGACTTATTGGCCTTAAGTGAATGAAAACGTTTGTTGCACTTCAGATTTTTTTGGCCTTAAGTGCAATTTTTCACTTCAGACTTATTAGCCTTATGTGCATCTGAAGTGCAATTTTTCACTTCAGACTTATTAGCCTTAAGTGCATGAAACCATTGGTTGCGCTTCAGACCTATTTGGCTTTAAGTGCATTTGAAGTGCAATTTTTTCACTCCTAAGTAATTTTTTTAAACTTCGGACCCGATAAGTCTGAAGTTGACCGTAAAGTGGGTTCACTTGCAAATTTTTTTGTAAAGTGGGTATAGGTTCAATTGTTACTCCAAAACCGGATATAAATGCAAAAGCCTCTGGACAATAGCCTTTGGGCCTCAGGCCCACAGGCGACAGCAGAACAAGAATCAATTGTTTGCCCATATTTTCCGCCAACAAAAATGTTCTCCACTGGGCCTAATTTGTCACTTAGTTTCGGGTGAGATCCAAATTCCATATTTTACTGCACTAGTATTTAAAGAGGGTAGTGCAGCAAAACTGTGCTAGGAGAAGGAACGTTTCTATAAGAACATCTAAAAGGTAAACGTAAAATCATCTGAAATTTACATCTTTAAGTAAATAAAGAATATATTAAATTAAACAATATGTATGTTGGAAAAAGATATTGTAGTTTTCCCTGAAAATTAAAATTGTAAAGGAACAAGGGAAGGGTTTGAAGTTTAAATGTGGAAATTGATCTTCTTACCTGATAGTTCCTTGTAATGATGCTAATTATAAGCTGCAACTAGGGCTGTTCATTAAAACCCGAAAAATCGAACCAAACCGAAAACCAAATCAAACCGACCAAAAAAACCGATACTTTTTGGTTTGGTTTGGTTTTGGTTTTGAATTTTAAAAACCGATCAAATTTGATTTGGTTTTGGTTTTAATCAGAAAAAAACCGAACCAAACTGACTATAGGAGTAGCTATTTCAAATTTATTATTACACCTATATATATGTATATTGTTATACAAAGTTTCAAAAAATTTATGGTAAATGTTAATAGTTTGCACTTTTAATATAGTTCTTTACCTTTACATTCTAGTTTGATTGGTAGTTTTCTTTTGTTTAGGGTAAGAATCCATTTCGTGTTAAAAATAACATATTTTTAATTGAGTCCTTAAATTATTCATCACTATTTGATTCAATTATCATCAATATATCTTGGTAAATAATAGATTTCTCAAAGGGCAATTGATTTGATAGTGTTACAGTGAAAATGTGGTCGCCGGAATATGTGTTTGGTAGTGTATGTCTTATATTTAAGAAAAAACCGACAAATAACCGAAAAAACCGAAAAACCGACATAAACCGAATCGAGAAAAACCGACTTAATTGGTTTGGTTTGGTTCTAATATTTGAAAAACCGACTTACTTCGTTTGGTTTCTTTTTAGGGAAAAACCGATCCAAACCGAACCATGAACACCCCTAGCTGCAACTTATGTAATTCTTTGTATGTCGCTAGTGTAGTTTAAGTATATGAGTTATTAGTCTCCTTATTATGCTAGCTAGGAAGATCTTTAAATGTATGAAATTATGTTGGTATATGAAGTTGTTTTGCAAGGTTGTCATTCAATCAACTTCTATCTTAATTCTATGAGGTATGTTGCATTTGAGCTTTAATCTGTTTTAGCAAGTTCAAGTGTTATATAATACTGCAACTTTCTACCTCTTAATTTTGATACTCTCTCTCAATTTTGATACTCTCTTTTTTGTGTTGGTGCGCGCCTCTTTACTCCATTATCAATAATCAAATTAAACAACAACAACAATTACAATAACAACATACTCAGTGTCATCCCACATATTGAGGTCTGGGGAAGATAGCGTGTACGTAGATCTTATCCCTTCCTTATGAACGTAGAAAGGCTATTTCCGATGAATCTCGACTCAGGAAAAGTATAAGCACGATAATAATGGAGAGGAAAACGATGGTGTAAAAGCCATAAAAACGAAGCCATAAAACATAAAGAAAATAAGATAACCAAATAAAAGTAGTAATAGGAATCTAAGATAAATTAAGAAAATACGAGAATACAAACTAATATTACAGCCTGCTGGTATGGAAAAAGAAGATAGCTCGACACCCACTAACCTCATACTCTAATTTTTTTACTTCCTCATCACTATCAAGGATCATGTCCCCGATGATCAAACTACTAACTTATAAATAAATCATATCTCCTTGTTGTGATGTTTATAAGTTAGTACTAGCTTATCTAACTCAAAATCTAATATATTTATTTTTTATGGTTGATATTCCTCTTTTCATTTGGTGCCTCTAAACTCAATTATCAATTTAGTAGTTAATTATACTATTTAAAGGAAAAAGGACAAAGATAATCAATCACCTCCTTTTTCATCCACCAAATCGAAACTCCATCATGAATTATCTTATATTATTTGAGTAATTTTCATCGCATACAGTTTGGTTGCTCCAAACTGCACCCTACTCTTATTTTAAATCTATGTTTTCTTTTGCTTTTCCCTCCAAATTCGTATCTATAAACTGATCTTCTACCCCACAATCCATTAGTCAATATTTTAGAACTAAAAAATTGCATGTCTTCTGATTGACATGCCATGCTACTTTATCAAAGTCTTCCCGAAAATTAATAAAATATTCAAACATCAATCTATAGCATGAAAGTAAAGATCAACCACTACTTCCTATCAATTTTGAAATTCTCCAATAAAAACAAAAGATAAAAAAGAAGAAGAATTATGTGAAGATATATGCGTGGACTTCAGCGTCTTGATCAGCACTTTAGTCAAAAGTATCAACTACAAGAAAAACAGAAAAAATAAAACGTAAAAAAAAAAGGGAAAGTTGAAGTAGTAGTATAGTGAGCCGAGATTTGAAAAATTTGGGTTCAGAATTCTAATTCTTTAAGCTATTGAATTTTAATAACTTATATACATATTTAGTAAATTTTTTAATATAAATATAAGGTTTGGACAATTAATTATATATAATACACTACTAGAAAATAAGGTTTTAACGACGGACAAATTGTGTAGCAAAACAGAAAAATCTGTCAATAATATCATTTAAGAACGGATTGGAGAAAAATTTACTAGCTAGCTACGAGCGATTTAGTGATAAATTAGCGACGAAGTACGTAGTTATTTTCAGTTTTTTTTAGCTATTGAACTCGGCCGAATCCGAAAGGTACATGCAAGCTACGTGACTGTAGAAGGAAGAATAATAGAGTAGATTATTTTTGCAGCATTTCCCATGAAACATAACACATATAGTAGGTTTTAGGTCAGGAATAAGTCTAATAACCAGAATCCAAGAGAAGGGAATTAATTGGTGCAGACTAACATAGATCTGATGTCTCTCTTTTCTTTCCTCTTTCCCGATACATAAGGAAAGAAAGAAAGAAAAGGAACAAATTAAAGTAGAAACTTAAGCATGCAGATGAAAGTAAAAAGATGACGAAAATGAGAAGAAGAGTCAGATCATAAAAAAGAATATTCTTGTTCAGCAGCTAAGCCTTCATTTAATTCATCTCATGCCTTCTGGGTGCAATGGGAAGAGTTCAAGTGTCCTATCACCATTATCCTCTCTACAATTTCTCTTTTCCTCTTCCTCCAAATATTCATATGTCCAACCTCTGCACTTTCTCTTGTATGGACTATCTTCCTCCCTCACTACTTCTCCCTATAACAATATAAAATAATTCACCATTAGACTCAAAAATTAGAAAAAGAATTTTTACAATAGGTCACCTAAAAGATAATTATATATAATTATTTAATAATATAAAAACAAGATGACGACGTGCTACAACATGTCAAAATAGACTGATAGTAGCCCGATAGTGTAAATTTTTTTACGATCATACTTAATTATAGTATTAACTTATATGTACTGATTGTGGAAGGGCAACCATGTTGGAGCATTAGTAAAGTTGTTTTCGTGTGGCCTATAGGTCACAGTTTCCGGTCGTGAAAACAATCATTAATGCTTGCATTAGGATGTAATTTATGCACCAAGCTACCTTTTTTATTTATTATGTACTGATAGTGTAAAAAAAATTATACTGTGAAAGTATGAGGAAATTAAGGAGAAGAGACATACCCTAGTGTCAAAGGACAAAGGACTAGTCACAATGGCTGGAGGTGTTCTTGGACTTTGGCTAAGACCAAGACTATTGCGCTTCTGCTTTTGTCTCTCACGAGCTTTGTGGTTTTGAAACCAATAGAACACGTTTTTCCCTTCTATTTTCCCATATTTCCCTAGCTGTACTGTGATTTGTTCGATTTGCTGGGCATTGGGTGTGCGCATCCCACCTCTATACAGCATTTCCAGTATTCCTATCTGTTCTTGCGTCGGATTCCACCTTGTACCTCCCGGGTGCGATTCCACCTACATAACATGTTAAAAGAGTTTAAGTTCTGTGCGACAACGACAACGACGACAACAACAACGACCCAGTGTTATTCCTACAAGTGGCGTCTGGGAAGGGTAGGATTGTACACAGCCTTATCCCTACCTTGGACGGCCAGAGAGACTGTTTCCGGCAGACCCTCAACTAAAGAAAAAATGAAAGAAGCATTGATAACAACTAATAACAATACAAGAGATTTAGAAAACTGAGACTAAGACAACAAAATAAAAGATGAAGTTCGGTGCACTAATAGTAATTACAAAAGGCAAGTGCGATTACTTGTTTATAATTGATCAAAATACGGAAATGTAAAATTTCTTTATATTTTCAGTGTATATAATTTAAACACCTTCTTTAAGTAAGATTGCTAAAACTTGAGAAACACTTAAAAATGGTTCCATTTCCCAGCTAGAGAAATATGTTAGAATCCCATCATTATATTTCCTTGTTCACAATCTTAGGATTAGTATAGCTAGCAAGTGATACGTGCGTAAATTACCTGAGAGGAGTCTTTCTTGTCGTCGTTGAATGAAGTTTTGCGAGGGCTAGTGCTACTTTCAGGTCTAATGAAACTCTTGAGATCGAAAGGAGGAGTGACAATAGTAGGATCATTTGTGCAGGTAGAGAGCTTAGGAGCAAGAGGTCGTAAACGTTTACAACCAAGTGTAAGTGAAGGAGTAGCTGAATCATGCTCTAAGATTAATCCACGTGTGAACTGATGCACCTTCATGCTTAAGCTTCCTGATGATGATCCCATGTACATTGGAGGGTTGGGGTTTTTAAAAATTGATGACAGAAGAGCCTCCATTATATACAAGTGCAGTGCAATCACTACTGGTAAAAGCAGAGCGGATCCATAATTTGGATGTCTGTATTTTTGCATTCAACCAAAATCTATTTTGTATGTAGGGTGGTACTATTAATATATCACTATTTTTTAAAAACATATATATGTATATATAGAATTTTTGCCGAATTTTACGAGTGTCAGAACCCTATATTTACAACATAGATCATGCCTCTGAGTAAAAGATGGAGTACACTCTCTCCGTTTTAATTTATGTGAACATATTTGACGGGGTAAGGAGTATAAAGACTTTTGGAATTTGTGATCCTAAACAAGTTAGAAAGAGGTCTAAAGTATTTGTGTGGTTATAAAAACTTCTCATTAAGGGTAGAGTTAAAAATTTAAGCTAAATTATTTCCAAATTTAGAAAAGGGTCATTCTTTTTTAAACGGACCAAAAAAAATACGTTCAGATAAATTGTAGCGGAGGAAGTAACTAATACACATTGACATTGTAAACGAGTTTTTACACGATCATTTCAACTAAAAGATAATAACCATCTATAATAAGTAAAATATGTAACCTGGAAAAAAAATTGTTATACAATGTTAAAATGTATTGATAGTGCAAAAAATCTTTATACGACCACTGTATATGAGTAAAAGAGGTGAAGAAAATAAAAACAATAAAAGAAAGTGGGAAATGAGGTGGGTGCCAAGAAGAACCAAGACCAAATGATGAGGTGAGGTTGACTTATGATTTCCATTTTAAAAAGCAAGAAAAAAGTGGATCTAGATAGCTAGAGAGGTCGGGGGGGGGGGGGGGGAAAGAGAGGTGTAAATTGTTATGAATGAATGAATAGGTGAGCGTGTGGGTGAATGTATGCGTGTGTGTAGTTGCCTAGTCTAATCAAATGTAATGAGTTGGTTTTCTTTTTTCTCATTTTATTTCTTTTTTGCCTTTCCTTTCTTTTTTCTTCTTACTTTCATGATTATAAGTCGTCCATGCTTTTCGGTGGCCTCTTCTCCTTCTAAACTTTATCACCATAAAGTGAAGAGAGAATGTAGGGAGGAAGAAAAATAAAAAAATTATATGGATAAATTAGTGAGTGGAAAAATTGAATGCCGTCTTTAAGTGGTGGAAGATATTGAAAAAACCACTACGTTTATAATATTATAGTATGTGTATTCCATGCATGACGTGTGTACACATATATATTGAATTAGTATGCTATATATGACCAAAATCCATCTGATGTAGCTTTAGATATGCACATACCCCAAATATATCCCTTTTTCTTTGGGAACTGTATACTCCAATTTCCCAAATATTATAAAACCACCATTCTCACTTTTTATCCCATTTTTGTATAGCAAAATCTTTGCATGATTCAACCACATGCTCAAAGTAGTGTATCAAAGTAAACCCTAATTATCTGTCACCCAATCAATGATTGAATTATTAATTTATGCTCAAGTGATAGTCAAGACCGTTGGTAAATATTTTTTTTCTTATTCTTTTGTGCGTCTAGATCCTTTGTTCTTTTAATTAATTATTCCAAGAATGCACCGAAACCTATTAATTTCTCTAGCTTTAAAAAAAGTCAAAAAGAAAATCTGCAGCTTGACTAAAATATATACTTCAGAGAAAAGATTTTAGGCTCATTCATAAACGTGGAGGCATACAATTGAAGGCATGTATTTCTTGTCTTTGTCTTATTTCTCGAGTATAATATGTATATGTAGTGTGTCCTCAATTTTCCACATTTGGAAGAAAGACTGCAATATACTTGAAATGTGAATCCAACAAAAACTTTTTTGTGAAGTCTTCAAAGGGAGTGCTGAAATTCATGTATCCGATCCTTAAAGTTATACTTTCTAATCTTGATCGTATTGATTTTGGTATGAACATAAATCTCCTTTTTCCTATCCGCCTTTGAAAATAAAAATAAGTTTGCAAAGATGAAAACTATTGAACTTTTTGGATATTGCAATATAAAAGGTTGAACTCATAGAATTATCTTTTTGAACAATAATGGTGATATAAATTCGACAAAATTTTATTCGTTTAAACACGTGAAAATATTTGTAATTAATGCATGGTAACTATAATTCTAGAATTCATGACTTCAATTTATTTATTTTCTTGAAAGAAACATGTAAAATTAATTTGTCAATAGGCCATACGGCGGTGAGATTTAAATCATGTATCATATAGCCTTATGTGTATCGCCTAAATTAAATTTTAGATGAGGCGGTTTTAAAAAAAGGCTAATATGTCCATTTGGTATCTTATTTCTTTAATTTATATGCTTTTTATGTGTATGTAAGGTGAGGATGGAGAGTTCCCCGTCAAATATTTTCCATAGACCAAAACTCATCATAAATGTTTTATAACATAACCAAAGAAAGAAATTAAAAGATATAGGCATGTCTTCATAAGATTAATATTACTTCGTTTTGCAAAGCTTGGCGTGGAGAGTGTCAAATGGCAAGTAACCGCTCTTTGAATAAAGCAAACTTTGAAAATATTTTTCATATACGTCAAGGCGCATGAGACACAGAAAGAGTGATGTCTAATCAAACATGGGATGTTTTTTTCTGACAAATTTATATGAGTAGTAACTTTATTTAAATTATTTATATTTACTGTCCAATTCAACGTACATGAGTATCAGGTTTGGTTTCCAATTTTCCACCCCAGATAAAAATTTATAAAGATCACAAAATTTACAAAATTCTTATTCACAGTTTAAAATAGTTTGAAAATATAGGCAAAGGTTGTTGTCATTTTTCCCAACCAAATCAACAGAGATACCTAGGGAAGATTGAAAAATTCTACATCAGTTTGTCCTTTTGGCCTTTCGGCCAGAAACCAATTAAGTTGTCTTATTGGCACGAAGTCATTCTAGGTAGAAATATTTCACATAGTAATCATTTCAATGTTGAAAAATCAGATGATACGATTTTCATGTTTCGGTGCCCCAACGTTAGAGTGACAATAACGTATGAATTCAAAGTACATCTGACCAAAATTTTATTTTCGACTAGTAAGCAAATAAATTCGAGTACATAGTATTACATTTACTAAATTATTTTTTTGCTTTAAACTCGTTCAAGATTGAGGAACCATTTATTCGTACGAGTGTCTAGGGTTTCATGGTCAGAGGCGTATCTACAAAAGAAGCGATGGGTTCATTTGAGCTCATAGTTTCGACTTAAACCCTGAATATCTATCAAAAAAACTCATTAAAAATATACAAATTTTAAATTTGAACTCATTAAATATGGTGTAATTTAGAATTTGAACCCATAAGAATTTAAATTATGGATCCGTCGCTGTTCGTGGTTGGTAAATCTCTAACTTTTAGATTTCTTAAGGTGTGTTCATGGTTTGGTAGCTGATATAAAGGTTGGTAAAATGAAAATTTATGTAAACAGATGCTTCAATAAAGTGATTAAGCGACCAGTAATTTCTTCTTTCAAGGTAAAAGAAAAAAGAGGATCAGACGAACTATGATGACAACATTTGCCTAATTAGAACATACTTAATTATGAAACTAAGAAAGTAAAAAGTAGACAATTAGAGGATTGTAATAACATACGTATGAGAACTACATAATGACTTAAGTTCTTATGGTTATTTCGGATATAATAACACAGTCATTATCCATCATTCTATACTTATAAGGGGACTCAAGGACATTAACGCAAAGGTATTGTTTAATAATATAGAACTTATAAGACTTTCAGTCTGCGCACTGTAATGACCCAAAAGGTCATCTTTTGTTTTAGAATCCATTTTCGTGTTCTGAGGCTTTGAAAACCTCCTTTTGTCTCTTTTCGATTTGCGTACGCAATCCGGGCGCGATACCGGAGAGCTTTTGTGTGAAAATTTAAGAAATAATAATTTTTGGCTTTAAAATATGATTTTAGTTGACTTCGGTCAACATTTTAGGTAAACGGATCCGGACCCGTGTTTCGACGTCCCGAGGGTCCGTAAAAAAATATGGGACTTGGGCGTACGCCCGGAATCAAATTTCGAGGTCCCTAGCTATAGAAATCAATTTTTGAAGAAAATTATTTTGCTGGTTTTTAAAGGAAATAAAGAAATGAATTAATGCTTGAACTCGTCGGTATCGGGCCCGTATTTTGATTCTGGAGCCCGATACAAGTTTGTTATGATATTTAAGTTCTATCTGCGAAATTTGGTGAGAATCGGAGTTGATTTGACGTGATTCGGACGTCCGGTTGTGAAAATAGTAAATTTGAAGTGTTCTTGAGGAAAATCACGAGTTTGAGGTTAAATTAGTAGTTTTTGATGTTATTTTGGCGATCTGATCGCATGAGCAAGTTCGTATTGTTTTAAGACTTGTGTGCATGTTTGGTTTGGAGCCCCGAGGGCTCGGGTGAGTTTTGGATAGGCTACGGAGTGATTTTTGAACTTAGAGAATTGCTGGTATGTTTCAGCTGTGTAGCAGGCCTCTGATCTCGCAATTGCGAGATCAGGCATCGCAATTGCGATGTAAGCAGTGACCGCAAATGCGAGGTTTTGCTTCGCAAATACGAAGAAGTCAGGGCCAGCTTTTCTCGAAATGCGAGATTTACTTCGCAAATGCGAAGGTTGTCCAGGCAGGCCAATAGTCGCAAATGCGACATAATTGTCGCAAATGCGAAGGCACCAGAGATTGCGAAGGTTCACATTTGTGATGCCCTTCTCGCAATTGCGAGCTTCGCAAATGCGAAGCTCCTATCGTAATTGCGACATCTACAGCTGATCAAAACATCATTTGGACGGGATTTTGACTTCACTTCTCAAAATTTCAAACCCTAAGCTCCCATAGGCGATTTTCTTGAAGAGAGTTCTTCCCCAAAACATAGGTAAACGATTTTCTTCAATCTATTTCATCTTTATACATGATTTCATCTCAAAATCTAGGGGTTTTCATGGGAAATTGGGTATTTTTGGGTAGAATTTAGGAATTTTAAATTTGGGGGATTTGGACCTCAATTTGAG